TCTTTGTGAACCACACGTGTCACGAGAGTTTCTCTGTCGAACGGGGCAAACCTTACACTGCAAAGGTACGCTTTTCACGGGGAAGGCATTTTGCATCTCACTTCCTCTATGGGGCAACGTCTTTTGCACATAAATAGGGGAACACAATGACTCTGGTGGAAATCACCGTAAAGGAGGCTCATCCAGACTTCTGAAATGTGGCTTTCTTTTCTTGCTAGCCAGCTGATCAGCATCCAAAGCTAGCTGGCAGGAAGAGGACCACCACCCAGATGGAGGACAACTGGCCTGCTCTGTCCCACTTAAAGGAAAGGCAAAGAATGATCTGCAGCGGCTTCGCTCCTGTGACCCAGCAGCTGCGGAATCCTCGAGGATCAAGTTTGCCCACCCAAATCGAGGGACCAGTCTGGCCTTGAGGGAGAATGCTGCACGTTGGCCTCTCGCTCTGGAGGAAACCGGACTGAGGAAGGCTTGGCAGGAATAAAATGACATTGAATTGACTCTTGCACGGCCAGCAAGGAAAGTGGGTTGATGGACTGAGTTCACTTCAATTCCAATTCCAATTCCGTCAGGTTTGGGTGTGGGTCGCCTACAGTCCACGCGCCCCACGCCTACAACTCGTTTTGCACTCGCTCGCTTTTTTTGGGGGGGGCAGGCCCTAACTCCCCCTCCTAAACAGGTGGGACTCCAACCTCCATCGTCCCCTGTCAGCCGGAGCGTAACGCCCCGGGCGGCCTTAGAGAACCCCCACTGGCTACCTCTCCTGACCGCCTAAGACGCCGGCGCTCGCCCCTTCGCCCCCGGCCGGGAAAATCCCCTCACTCGCTCGGCCGCCCGGCCGCTCTCGCTTTCGCTTTCGCTTTCGAGTTTCGTTTTCGCCGCGGAGGAAGGCCGCGCGGCGCCGGGCGGTTTTGTTTTCCGGCCACGCTCCGCCCCGCCGGGACGCCTCGAAAGCCGGGCGGGCGCTATAAAAGGAGGCGGGAGCGGCGCCGCCAGCGCTTCGTGCGGGGCGGACTCGGGCGGTTGAGGCTGCGGCGCGCTGGAGATGGTAAGCGGGGCTGCCGGTGGGTTTGGCGATCGCTTGTGGGAGGGTTTTGGCGTTGGGGGTTGCGGTTCTTCGGGCTCCTTTGAAGGGCGCGTAGAGTCCCGGGGCGATGAACGATGACTGCAAAGTGCCTCGCAGGGACGCAAATCACCCCGGCTCGCTGAGCGGGTCGGCCGGCTAACTCCCCTCTCGCTGCGCCCCCACCCCTCGTTCCCCAACTGCGTCTGCTTCTTTCTCCCCCCCCCTTCCCACCGCCTCTCCCGAGGACCCCTTTGCAGAAC